TATAAGCATGTCATGTTTGGAAACTGTTTGGTAATCCAAATTGTAATTTGAACCTTCCAAAAGTGCTTCGAGTCATTGATTTGGACCCATTTGAGCTGGGATTGTTTCGAATTTGGTGTCGTTGGGTTCGTATTTTTGAGAAGAATAGTTTGACTATAAGTTTGCTGAAATCAGAGTTTAGATGATCCCATTTTTAACTTTGGAAGCATACAATTCAATTTTGCCTTGAGATTCATGCTAGATTAAGACGATTTTAGGTGACGTATCAAGCTTCCTACAAATCATATTTTGGAGTAAGTTGTCATAGAACTGTGGCATTATAAAGAACATTTTAATCAAGCTTCTTATTATTTTTACTAGTTCGGGCAATTAATGCTGGAGTACTGAGCACAATCCTAACTGAATGCCAGCATGTGGCTTGCCCGCTCCAGGACCACTCCATACGTTCCTTGCAATTGTCCTTTTCAGTTATTTACATAATTAGTATTATCCTACCACAATTTTTTTTTGGGGACATTTAGGCCATTTAAGGCAAACTCACACACACAACGCATACACATAGACTCGAGCCCTAGTCCTCTTAGTTGGAAGCCTAAGCTCTCAACCAATAGGCCAAGGAGAGTTGTGTCTACCACAATTTTCTATTAGCTAATTACTAGCATTGCTTCTTTTAGCTTCCTTTGCAACAAGGCTCATATATATATAGCACTGAAACAGAAATGATACACAGAAAATTACTATCCATTGATATTATTCTATTGCTTGTGTTTCCTGTGTATTGAGATCTTCGGTTGCAGGTTCCATACCAGCTAGTATCAGAGCACATATAGACGAGCACTAGAATGGTCGAGAATAGCCAACGAGTAGCTCCTGACGAAGATCAGAGTCAAGAAGCTTTATGGACTGCTCTCACCAATATCTCCAAGGAGGCCGCAAAACTCACTGCAGATTTCAAGCGATTCTCAATGGACATGAGAAGGCATATACAAGTTTTGCAGCAAAACAATGGCGCACCTCAGAGAATGAGATGTGTCGGGCGCAACGACGCCTCCCTTGTTCAACGGGGACACATTGGTTTCAAACATCTGCTAAGGGGAGTTCCTGCTCTGCATCCTGAATACTCTGATTTAGATGATGAAGACGAACAATGACCTGGACTTGAATTCTTCGAACAAGAACAACGAGTGTATGGTGATCGTGGTGGGGGTCAGCAAGCACGAGAGAGAGCACCAAGTCACGAGGGAGAATTTCGAGTTAAAATTGATATCTCATTCTTTGAGGGTTGCCTCCATATAGATGATTACTTAGATTGGGAAAGAGCCGTGAGATGTTCTTTGATTTCATGCAGATACTACCGGAGAAACAAGTCAAGTATGTAGCATGCCGGTTAAAAGGTGGTGTTAGTGCCTGGTGGATGCAACTTCAGTAAAATTGGAGAAGGGAAAGTAGGGGAGCTGTCCAAAATTTGTACAGAATGAAGCAATTAATGAGAGGACATTTCCTTCCCACCGATTACGAAAAAATGCTAAATATGCAATATCAACATTGTACCCAAGGGCAATGGTCGGTTAGAGACTATATGGAGGAATTCTAAAGGTTAAGTGCTCGTAATAACCTCAATGAATTTGACAATTAGTTGGTTGCTAGGTACATCGGCGGATTGAAAGAGTTGCTACAAGACAAGCTGTAGTTCAATTCAGTGTGGACTCTTTCACAGGATGTTAATTTTTTCCTCAAAGCCAAAACACAACTATCAATACATTCCAAGAGCTTCTCAATGCATATATATATATATATATATATATAGAGAGAGAGAGAGAGAGAGAGAGAGAGAGAAACAACTCGACGCGGCATTATGTGAAAGCGCACAACATCGCCCAGAAGCTTATAGCCTCTGAGGTCAAATTCTACGTGTTAAGCAAAGTGCATTGGTTTAGCCAATGAGGCAGCGATATCCCAACGGCTTAACGAATTTGACACCGAATTAGGTTAGGCTAATGAAGAACCAGTTAGCTAAGTGTCCGCAGTCCGAGTTTGTTAGGCTCTCCTTACAAGTAATAACATATACCGGAACGAGGGAAGCCACTAGTGCAAACCGCGATAGTTTGTGCCAACGTGGCAATGGTGGGATGGCGGATGTTACGGAAAGAGAGCGATGACCTTGTGTATGAACTAAGGCAGCAGAAGTTATGGGAAGAGGGTGATAACCTCATGTGCGTACCGAGGCAATGGGAGTTATGGGATGAGGATGACAGCCTCATGTGCAGTTCGAGGCAGCGGGATCATGGGACGAGGGAAGTGACCTCATAGTGGGAGTCGCATGACGAAGATGATGAACATGGGATGGAGCGGGAGTCATTGGACTTGGGATGCACTCGATTATACTCGCAAGCTGATCGACGAGCCCCTCCCAGTGGGATAAGTTGAGCTCATGTTCATCTTTTAAGATCGACTCGAGCTTGAGCTCGAGATTAGTCTCACAAGTCAAACTTGAGTTAGACTCGATTCGAGCTTGACTCAACTCATTTACACCCCTATTAATTAGTCTCATTATCTTTAAGTCATGTGGCTTAATGTAGGAGTCATCACTCCATATAAGTCATTTCATATCAATTAATCTCTTTATATCTCACTTCATATCTTTTAAGATCACATCATAATTTTTTTTAAAAGGAAATCCTGTCTACCCATCCACCTATACAGAATAACATATATTTAGCCAAACTGAATTAGTCAAATATCTAACCAACTTTTCTTGTAGATACACACATATACTATATTAAATATTTATCATTTATAATAGCATGCATCATATATCATGCAGGGGTGTCAGTATTTGATAAGACACGAAACCCGAAACAAAATTAACTCGAAAAATTTTGGGTATGGGTCAACCAGTTTATTAGACGAGTTGGGTTTGGGTTTTGAAATGTGACCTATTTTAAAATTGTGTTGGGTTTGGGTTGACCTGTCAACCCAAAAATAATCCAAAATTGACCTGAGTCTAGTAGTTTTGTCTAGCCCGCTAAGCCTAAATGTCCAATCGATGGATTTGGTGCCGCTTAACCTAGGCCCTACTGTCCTAGCTTGCCTCAGCTTGGCCGCCTTCACCACTGATGCGGCACTTGGCATGCCCCACGCAGCACGCGGTAATGGTGCAGTGCGGCCTTAGGCCTTAACTTGGATATCTGTGTGCCCTCAAATTCAAAATAAAGTAGGTTGCCAGGTCATGTTGGGTCAACTTGTTACCCCGTGCGGGTCGGGTTCGTGTTGGCAATCTTAACCAATTTTTAAATCAGGTTGAGTTAGGGTCAACCAAATTTAAATAATGATCAATCTGGGTTTAAACCAAACCCGACCCACGGATCTATTTTGACACCCCTAATATCATGTACATATCTAGTGCAATTAGCATGTAGATCATTTTAATGTTATGTAGAACATTTTAATGCTATGACATACAAATGGTATGTTCGATATACTTTTTAGTATGCATGTCCTATCAATGTACTCATGTCAATATGCACGTCATGTCAGATGGAATGCAATAGATGCATGTTATATTAGTCATAATAAGGCCGATGCAATGTTCCTAAATCTTTTTTCGTATGTATTTGTTCTTATTATTCTAGGAAAAATGCCCTTTATGCAATGTCACTCAATGAAATTTCAATATGATCATATCAAAAGCGTTCATGATAAAGATATCTATGACATATCAAAAGCAACATGGTGAACATTTGCTTGATTGAGAGAAAAAAACATTTTAAATAGATTCAAAAGAGGAAAAAAACTCAAAAATCAAAATCATTAAAAATAGAAGCAGGGTTAAGGTTACCTATCATGATCAGAACAACTTTGCTAACTAGGAGGATGGACAAAAAAGGCCAAAGATGAACTTTCTATCCCTTCTCTCTCCTAATATCTCATTCTCCCATTCTCTCCTTCTCTTCCATGGCCAAGAGCATTGAAATAAGGTGAGGGGAAAGGCTTAGTGGAAATATTTAATATAATAGATTCATATATTTATAAAAATATTTTTAGTCATGCTAGCTAGCGCCACAATAATCTAGACTATAATGTTGCAATGGTGACCCCAAGCACTATAGAATGAAGGGGTTAGAGTAGTTGTGCTAAATTTCAACACTGCCTCGCTCAATCATCTAGAACCCTACAAATAGAAATGCAAGTGTCATTGCGCTTGTAAGTACAACACCGCAGTGCTCCCATGCAAAAATTTTAGACATGCAAGAATTTTTTAATATTATTCTATTGGGTCATTTATAGGTTATTAATAAAATATTGTTATAATGTGCATGAGAATTATTACACTCATTAGGTTAAAAACTTTCATAATACAATTAATGACCATCTAATCTTCAATTTCAGCAAACTTATAGTTAAATTAAATATTTTGATGAGATAAACCTATTGACAACAAGATTGATCTGATCGAAGTCAGAATGAGCATATATCAAGCATTTGAAGCATAATTATAATCTTTGATATAGTAATTAGAGGACCAAATGATTAATTTACACCTAATTTCCTTCTTATAATTTTATTTGCCAACAAAAATAGCCAAATGATGGCATAGGGATGTTAACTATTTTATACAATGCATTTTTCATTTGCAAATAGTGTAATCAAGGAACTCCAAGTGCTGTAGAATTACGATGCATCTTGTAATAACTTCATTTCATTAAAAAATAGGATTTTGAAATAGCATTATCCTATTTTGTAATTTTCGCAAAAAGTTTATCAATTTTTAACATATGCCCTTCCATAAAAAGTTAGTCATTAAAGTTAAGTGATGGCTCTAATGTTTGATATATCTCTAGATAATTCTATTGATCAACACAAATTTTGATGCATTATATGTATTAAATATTTTAAAACATAAATTCAAGACCATCGAAGCTTCAATTTTAACGAAACTATAGTCAAATTGAACGTCTCAAAGAGATAAACTTAATAAAACCAAAAGTGTAATATCTATTGTAATAGTGTTTAGAACCTATTTGGATCTAATCTAGTAAGTTTGTGTGGTTGCGTTTCTATGTTTTCTACTTTGTGAATGTTTACGTGTTATTCTGAATACATTAGTTATATTCAAGTGTGTCCTGCAAGTCTTATGTGTGAAAATTTGCTTGAGTAATTTTTTTCATAGGAGAGCTTTTTCACAACTCTCCATCTTTTTGTTCTTTAAATAGAAAAAAAAAAAATTTTGAGTGTTGTGGTGCTACGGTACAATGCTCTCTGTATTTAAAAAAAATTAACGAAGCGCTACAACGGTAGATATTTGAGCGCCAAGGTACTATGAAATGAATTTTTATATAAATATCATTTTTAACTAAATCAATTATCTAAAATCATTTTCAATAAATCCCAGTAGGCTAGAGAGAAAAAGAGAGATTTCTAGAGAGAGAAAATTCATTTTGGGCAACTTGGGGCTAATTTGTTGTTGGGCCAGTTCGTGATATGGTCTGAATCAAGATAAGTTACATTTACACTCTCAGATTTTTAAAAATTAAATCTATTTGAATTTTTTTTATTTAATTTATAAAATTTAATTATAAAAGCAGATATATTCCTACAATCAAACTTTATCCATGTAACTTTTGATATATTACATATTATAATATTTTGCACATTTTGGTAAGTTATTTGTGAATTTTCAATTTACAGTTTTGATTCCCTGCAAAATTTAAGCATACTAAAAGAATATTTTTGCTATGATAAATAGTATTATAGTACAATAAAAGCTTCAAAACGTAGTTGCGGATAATATATGATAATTTGGTTATGATATGAATTATATTAAATCTTTCTACGGGCTTATATGTCCTAAATGTTTTCCTATGTGGCACTACCAATAGGACATTATGTGAAATTCTTTGATAAGTCTGATACTATCTACTATATTTAAAAAATGCAATTATTTCATGTTAGGGCAAGGAAAAACGGCACGTTGGGCAGGGAGAGAATTGCAGGTTATGATATGTTTGTAGGTATTGTCTGTTATAGATTTTTTGTAGTCATAGGCATGTTTTATTTTGCCCTATCTCTCTTTGTAAATAATTATTTTTATTTGTATATGTTTTTGAGATGAAAATGAATGAAAAAAAAATGATGATGTGTATGTTTTATATTAATTGAAGTGAATTATAGTCAAATCGTGCGCCTTGATAAGAAAAATCCAACGAGCTTATGATCAAATGATTTAGTATGTGTTATCCAATTAAGTGGTAAGAAATTTTGGTTGAATTTGTAAAATATCACCCTAAAATGCTATAACATACCCTATTCTCGAAATGGCCATGACTTGGATATGGAGAAAGTTTGAAGATCTAACGAATTATAGAAGCTCTGCTTATGTTCACCACAGTCATTATTGTCCGTTGAGTACTTCTCTCAGATTTCCATTATTTTAAGAACCATCACCAGACATTTTTTTATAGGCACTATCATTTAGCTATCACAGTGCATTCACCATTATCCAACTATTATTATTTGGTTGTTATCGCTCGACCACTATTGCCTGACTGTTGTCACCTGTCAAACTAACGTGACCATGATTGCTTAATGGATATCATTTAACTATAATCATTATCCTTAACTACTCCAAAAGAAAAAAATCCCTTAATTACATCCCAACATCATCTTTATTACAACTCTACAATCATCAACAAGTGCTCCCAACTTTAAATAATCTCATCTAAAGAATTCTAAAACTTTATTATTTGTTGTCTTATAAATATAATTTCATTTATTAGTTCTATTTTTCTTAATATCAATATTTTTTATATTTCAAGTATAATGTCAATATAATATCTTATTAATGATAAAAAATAAATAAGGCCACGCAACACATGATATTTATACTCTATATAAAAGGGGTTTTGAGATTCTACCCATAGCAAATCTTGATCGGTACATCTATAAATTTTGAAATTAATATAAATGTCCATATAGGACTCTTCAAATTCTATTATTTTATCCTAATATTTTTGGACGTTAATGGCTTCTTTAAAAAAAGAGTCCATAAATGCAAAGTTATAATTATAAAAAGGGGCTTGATTTTCTCTTAGAGCAAATCTTGGACATTCATTTTATTTTTTCTTAAATTATCTTGACCATTTCATTATAATATAAATAATAATAATTCAAAAAAATAATATTATTTAATATTTAATGCTCTTATCTGTTAAGACTTATTTTAAAATTAATTAAAATTTTTGAATTTTTATTCATTTATTGTATGTTTCTTAATTTATCCGTTTCCGGTTCCGGTTTCCCCATTTCAATCCGTCTGTTCAATTTAATCAATTCATTATATGTTCCTTATTCTATTCGTTTCCCCATTAAATCCATCGTTTGATTAATTCTATGTTTCTAATTTATCCGTTTCCACTAATATTGCCTCTTCGTATTCGTATATATGAGCCCTCCGTCGAAGTCTCTTCGCCGCTTGTGTTCTCTTCGCGTTGTCTATCTTCGGCTTGCCCTAGCTTCTTCGCTCACCATTTCTCCGATAGTTTTCCTCTCCATATTCTCCGGTAGGCTTATCTCTCCAAATGTTTCAATCTCCTAAACATCTTTTAAGTTTCTTCTTACCAGCATTTACTCCAATCGCAGGTTTATTCCTCCCATTACTTCGGTATTTTCAACTTCTTCAACGCTTTTTTTTTTTGACTCTTTGGAAGATGAATTCAACCGTCAAACGACGGTTCTATGTTCTATTTTTTCTCCATGAATGTTTAAAAAGGCCTATTTTCTATGTTCTAAGTACTAGATTTGAGTATTCAGATTGTAACTTAGAATTTCTGCTATATGTTCTTAGATTTGAGTACTAGATTTTAGTATTCAGATTGTAACTTAGATTTGAGTGTTCTAAGTGTTCTAAGAAAAAGGCCTATTTTTCTTGAAGTGCTATAAATTATAAATTTAAGATTATAATAATTATTGGAATATTTATTAAGGTATAGTTATACTTGCTTCTCTATTTCAAAAGAATTACTTTTATAAACAATTTTTAAAAATTTAAAATATTAATATAAATCGCTGTGAAAAAAAATAAATTTTTCAAAACTTATCTCATATAAAAGAGTAATGTAACATATTGATTACAACCATGATAAAAAAATCATAAATGAAGTTTAATCTTACCATACCAGCTTTCTCATTGGTAATTTTATTTAAAATTATTTGTAGCAATAATTTTATAAAATTAATTATAAAAAGTAAAAAAATAATTCTCTCTCAAATTTATTAGTTATTTTTTTATTATTAATGTTTAAAATTTTACTAACATGCAATTATAAAAGAACTTATAACTTTCAAGAAAATACGACTTAAAAAATGAATAATTTGTTTATTAACTAATAAATAGAATTTAATACCTAAATAATTTATGAATGATAGAAAATTACTATCATATAAATTTATTTATCTAATCATATAAAATTTAACATAATGATTTTATTTATTTATAATAATATTTTTTTCATCTTTATAGTGATAATATAATTAAAATATTTATAATATAAATTTTTATTTTAAAATTTTTAGTCACTTTGACATTTATATAATTATATTAGTACTGATATACGGATATACCATAACTCAATAAGGCATCGCGGAGAGGCATATCCGATTATATTCGGAAACCTCCGCTCCATCTCCCTCGCATATCCCCTAATCTGTTTCAACTGTTCACTTCCCCTCGTATTTAAACCCCGCCCTTCAACCTCCGCCGTCTATCTATCAGCTCTCATCATCGCCATGGCGGTCTCAACAGGGAAAACAACCTCGTTCTCCTCCTCTTTCCCCTACTCTTCTTGCCTCCTCCCACGTGCTCCATCTCCCTTTTTCCATTTCCAACCTAAAGCTCTCCATTTCCGCTACCATTTAGCTACTCCGTCACCTCAGTCCCTATCGTTCTCCTCGTCAGCATCTTCATCTTATTCCCGATTCTGCCGAGTCTCCACGGTTCCCGTCGAGCAAGCCCCCGCTCCCGGCTTCGACTTCGAGAAGGAGATCGACCATCTGCACGCTCTGCGCTCGCGCCTTCGGAAGGCCAATACCCTCCGCGAGAAGCTACGGGTGCTCGATGCTGACCATAGAGTTAGGGATTTCTTCCGTTCGGGACGGGATTTGTTTTCGCTGGATTTGAAAGACGAGTTCCTTATAAAATGCCTCGTTGCCGCGGGACAGGGGCACGTTCTCGGCTCGGGGCTGCATCGTGGCGGCGGCGGGGTAGGGCATCATAGTTTGAAACAGGCGTTTTATATTCTGGCGGATATGATTGAGAAGTGGAATTTGGATGGGGTTAGAATTGAGGTTGAGGATGAAGATGTTGGGGGCGGTGGAATGAGCGAGCCATTGGAGAAGCTGCTGAAGACTTTAAATGATGTTGAAGAGTTTTATGACTGTGTTGGAGGAATCATCGGGTGAGTTCTCTTGATGCATTCTTCTTGTTCAACTTTGTTTGCATCTAATGAATTGGAATTTATAAATGAGATGGAAATAGAGGAAGACTGACGTGTTTAAGAGTCAATGTAATAAAACGTTTGTTGTGAAATCTTTATGTGGAAGTGATCATAACAAACTGGAGCTATAACCTCTATTTGGCTCTATAGATGACTAAAATACATGAAATGCGATACTGATTGGCGATATATCAAACCTGAAATATATAGAATACTTATGCTAGTCCTCTTTTAAATTGTTAAATATGATGCACTTGTTTTTATCCTTGTTATTGAGTGCCAAAGCACATATTTGATGCAGGCGAGATTTGATCAGGAACCTTGGCAACAACCTCTATGGTTTTATCAACTAAACTAATTGGCCCCTATAATATGTACCTATGTGTTTATTTATTGTACGAGGGTGGTAGTATAACCAATCCTGATATTGCTCAGGAGCTTGGATCGTGCCCTTATCTCTGTTGGTCTTTCTATGAAGATCTAGCAAAACTGACACTATTACTGATATTTGTTAAGAATCTCCTATATCATTCCTTTTGGACAGAAGAACGATTGGAAAAATGGTAAATAAACTGTAAAAAAGTTCTTTTTTTTAAGAATAAAGTGGGTAAGGCTCATCCATTGCTATGATAGGCACATTCATTGATATGAAAATAGTATGAAATAACTAAGATCTTTTTTGAGAACCAATATACACAGACTTGTGTTGCAACTCAGTGCTAATCGCCAAATCCACTGAGCAAGCCATATATAACTGTTCTGGTAATAAAGGAGCTGAGTTCAACCATTTTAAAGGACCATTCAATTGAAGCACGTTAACAGTAGAAGCTGTTTTGATAACTAACTGTGAAATATCTTCTATCCTAGAGAAGTTCTCATACCCTGCCTTACCTCTATATAATGCTGGATTCAATTGTGAGCCTAATGGAAATAAGCATTTTCCTCCTAATTCTTCAATGAAAGCTTGCCATTCAAGTGCAGGTTTGGATATTTAAGCACATAAAGTCTCAGGAGCCTTTTGTAGAAAAAACATTTTAGGAAGCCATCATAAAGGAATGGAAAAAATAATGTCCCTTGCAAGTTTTAGGGCAAGCCTGACTTTCAGAAGAATGATAAATATTTGTTTGTGAAATTTGATTTTCATCTGAAATAGGTAACGCTTGTGAATATTCTTTCACTGTAATCAGCTATTAAAATATTTTAATTTTTCAAGCATTCCTTTTAGAATAAACAAACATAGCATATCTCATTGGCAATATTGGAAATTTGTTATGTTTCAAAACTTCTGAATTGGAACATGTATCAAATTCATCAGTCTCGCTACTTTTCTAAATTCAAGTCTATACTCTTGAAGAATCTAAAAGCATCCGACAAGGACATGACATCTTTTTAAAAGTAATGATGATCCCAAATTCGTATTTTATATGATGTTGTTTCCTGCTATTGCATCTCAAGTTGTTGAAAAGTTATGGACTTTCCATCTGTAGTTGTTTGGCAAGCTATGGATGGTCTTTTTTCTCCAATCTGTATTATATTGGCTATTTGTTGATGGTCTTTTCTCATCTCCAGTCCTTGCTGGATGCTATTAAAACAAGACAATCAAATCTTTGATACTTTTTGTTTTCCCAATTTAAATTCAACTTCAATTTTCCTTCTAGGAAAAATGTGGTATATATGATTCAGTATTCATTGTTAACTTTCTGATGCAATTTATTATGTCAGATATCAGGTAGTGGTATTAGAGCTCCTTTCACCTCTGAAATCAAAAGGGAAATCTAATTGGTTTTCTCACATGAATCTGTCTCTTTGTGAACTCCAAGAATTTCATGTTCCTTCTGGAGCCAATCTCTTGGAGGATGCTGAATATGCTTCACAAGCAGCTTTCTGGGGATTAGAGGTAACTCAAGAAAATTTCATATACTTAAAATTGCTGTGGCACATGCTTTAAAGAAATGCACGTCACATGTTCCATTTAGTTTATCTTTGAGATGTGACAGAAGTTTCCAACGTTTTAGGGCTTGCCAGAGCTAGGTGAAATTTATCCTCTTGGTGGTGCTGGGGATCGGCTTGGTCTAGTTGACCCTGTCACTGGTGAATGTCTGCCTGCTGCAATGCTTCCATACTGTGGAAGCACTTTATTAGAAGGCTTGCTAAGGGATCTTCAGGTTATTAAATACTTGGTCTACATCTTCTACTTTAACAAACCAATGCTTATGACACAGCTATTTTTTCAGTGTACCACAACAGCATATTTACTTGGTCTACAAATAAACTGCTGTCTGCACTTATAAGGCCTTTATTGTCTTACTATAAAAAATCTTGTTAATTATTGATCAGCATCTACTGTCTTACAAAATACACATACAAAGACGTTTTTATAAGGTTATATGACTGGTTTAATTTGTCCATTTTGATAACCGCTGGTGCATTTTTAAAGATACACATCTGTGTAATATTCTAGCCTTATCTTTTTCTTATGTTGTGCAAATTATCTATTGAAAATGGCTTTGCAAATAATGCTTAATTTGTTTTAGCCAAAAAAAAAAAAAAAGAGGCATATAGTGGCTAGATGGAAGGACATGATGATGAAATACCTATGAATGGATATCTAGGGATGGGTGGCTATGAGATCCCTTTTCTTTTATAACTTGTAGCAGCTGGATCCATCAAGTTTTGTTTTTACCCCCCTCATTATTTGTTGATTGGTAGCCATTCAATTATGAATTAGTTTTCAGGACAAGAATTATGCTTCTTTTAATGATTTTTTTTTGTGATTGTTTCTTTGTTTCATTCTATCAGGCTGAAACTGTTATCCCATGCCCTTTGTCTTGGACCTTTTCAACCCTTTTTTTCCATCAATTTATACTTTATAGATATATTATGAAATAGTTTAATATAGACTTTGATTAAATTATGGGTTGAACAGAATGCTCTTGGTTAAAGTATTTAGATAATGCTATAATCAATATGAAATTTTTATGTTTGTATAATTATTACCTTCATTTGAAGGCTCATAGTGTATAGTACTTGAATATAGTAATATAAGATGTTTCTTAAAAAAATTTCACGACACTCTTGCTTTGAAAATGTTCTTGTTGTTTATGAAATTGGCTCGCCAAATGAAAGTTTGAGGCAATTTGGAACTTCTAGTTAAAGAATTGGCAATGCTTAATCTCCACTTTTTTTATGAACAAGATACAAATTTATTGCTCTTATGAGTATATTTTATTGATTCTGTATTGTCGTATCTTCCTAGTATGTTGTTTTATGTTTATATTTAAGAATTCTTCCTATATAATCCTTTCTTATCCCTTCCGACTAGCCACTATTTTTGCTGCCGTTGAGCAACCTAATTTTGTGGATCTCGTAGGACTGTATATTTTGCTGAAAAATGCCTATTGAAGAGATTTTATTCGAGGTCCGTTCCCAAAAATAGAGTTTTATAAGATTATATTTGTGCGTTGTTGGAATTGTTGTAGAGCTTTACTGCAATGAGAAGGCAGCAGGTTGAGGTATTAAATGTTTATGTAGCAACCTTCTCTGATACCAGATAATCAGTTTATCAGCAAATGTTGATTGCTTTTTTCTGCACTGTTTTTTGTGAATAATGCTTTTTTAATCACACATTAGAATATAGTGTGGTAAACCTTATAGCTATATGCATTATGCATCTAACATATTTTGTTACATTTTATGCATGAAGAAACTTCTGTCCAACCCCGCTGAAACTTTTGGAAGCTTTATTTTTAATGGCATTGACCAGGAGGAAAGCTTTCAATATTTTATTTAGCTAGACTTGAGCAGGCTCTCAAATCATATTGTTGTGCTTGTAGCGGAAGAATGGGGAAAAATCATATAAATAAGGTGTCATCCTTACTGTTTAATATCACTCCAGTTCATGGTGAACGTAATTTTGAATTCATTTTGTATTTTATGCCTCCTTAATCTTCATTACATTGCTTTCTGTAGTTCTCCTATATTAACATCATTCAGAATATAAAATGTTTGCATTATGATGATTGACCGAGAACTTGAACTTTATTTGAATTTTAGGCTTCGTTTGGGACAGATTTCTTCGCTTCTTGAAGCGGTTTTTTAAAATTTTTGTACTAGATAGTCGCTTCAAGAAGCAGGAAGAAAGCCGTCCCAAACAAAGCCTTTGTTTCTTTTATTATGAATGAGGAGTTTGTATGTGCATGTCTATGGTTTTATTTTGCTAATATGATAATTTTTTCTTGGATCCCTATTATTAATTGTTAACATCACTCCATATTTTGAGTTTTTTTTTGTATTTTCATGCCTCCTTGATCTCCCTTGCACTATTTGATATGATTATTATAGTCTACCTTTATCGAGAAAATAAAATGTTTGCATTGTGACATTCAGGTCTAAATATGAACCATATTTGAATTTTAGTTTTTTTTTTTGTTATTTTGATCCAACACTTTGTGTGCATGTTTAAAATTTTAATCTTACTTTAGATGAAAGTTTGATCTATAGTTGGATCCCTATTCTACCATTGCCATTAAGATTTCTTTTGTTTTGGGTTTGTAAAAGATTTCCTATGCTTTAGACCATCTGTAAATCTCTTGCAAGTCTTCGTTTAGGATGCTCTACAGTTGCATGTTTTTGTTCAGTGCTCGTGAGCCGTATTTCTATGTTTGGCTTCTCTATTTTTGGCTTATGTGGTGCTATTTGTGACATTTTCTATTCTCTTGGTTTCGTTGTTCTGTTAGTAATCAACTCCTCTATTGTGTTAAATGCAAAGCCCTATTAGATATTAATAAAAAAAACTCCTCTATTGTGTTGTAAAAAATTACAGTAGTGTGGAGATCAATGGTCAACATGTGGGGTCATTCATCCTTTTTTTAGAAGATAGAATCTTATGTCACATTTGGCAAGCCCAATGAGACACATAAAGTCTATATCAAAGGTAAGGGAATTACTGAATAGTAGAACTAGTTGAAAAAATATACCAACAACGATATAAATGAATGTTATAAAATCACAACTAAGATGAACAATACACTGAACTAGATAGAATCGGTCATACTGTTACATTACATGCCTCCAGAATTGACTCTGTCCTTTCTTCATGTAGATGAAGTTATTTTATACTAGGTATTTACATTTTATGCTTGTGTATTTTCCTTATGTGATGAACTAAATGGTTGCATATGGTTCCTTTTAAAAAAAAAGGATTGTGTTCTGTTATGAGAGCTAGTTGATGTTGGACATTAGAATCGCACTTGCTGATTCTTCGCCTATTCCCCTCTCTCATTCTTTCCCTTTGTAGTGAGTCACCATCTATATTCCTCCAAACTATGCTGCCCTTGGCCTTCTTCCCTTCCACCCTCTTTGATTCTACAACATTTTTCCTCCCTCTCTACAGCTCTGTCTCTCTCATTTTCTTTACATTGGCTTTCCTCTCTGGCCCTCTATTCTCCTATTTCCTCGCATCCTCATCATCAGCTCCATTCTTATAGTTTGGAATGGGAAAATATATTAAATCCTTTGCGATTCACATCATGCTCCGAGATTAGCAAACATCAATTTAATGTCTGAATAAAATTTTCAGTTGGATGTGCAATTCCTTTTGTCTATGGAATACAATTCCTTGATCAAGTGTGATTTTGAGGATTTTCAAGAGAGGTTATCTCCTTTAAAAGCATGAGGCTTGCATTTTTGATAAATTCCTTTCTATGCTTTTCTTTTTTTCTTCTCTTCTTTTTTCATTTTTGACATTTTTTGTTGTTGATTTAAAAGAGTGATTAAATTTAGTGATTTGGTATAAAGGAGAATTGAATGTGAGGGGTGGGTGATTAAATACAGAAAAATAATTTAAAAACATTGACAAATATTTCATGAATGAAGCAATTAGTTCAATCTGCAAAGAGGAAATTAAAGTATTAGAACAATCAGTTAAACTTATGATAGGTGGAAGTATAAGTTAAGCTTTTGTTTCTCAGCTCCCTTATCTATCTCCCAAAACAGAAGAACCACTTCAGATCTCTCCCGCTTTCCCCAACGAGCTCACCCGCTGAAGAAAACCAAAAATCCAAGAAGACGACCTACAATCTCCCGCCGCTTTCCCTCACCTAGCTCTCTTGCTGCAGAAAATCAAAAATCCAAGAAGGCAAACAACAAATGCAGGAGCTCAAAAGACTGCGGGATTTAAGAATAGTTTTGTTGGGACTTGGGAATGTCAACAATTTTGAGAGAGATGTAAGGTCATGATTTAAAAGCGAAATACACATGGATGGTTGAGATTTATTGTGGGAATAATCACAAGTGTGGGAATACCAACAGTTTTGAGAGATGTAAGGTCAAGTTTTAAAAGCGAAAGACATGTGGATGACTGAGATTTACTGTGGGAAGAATCACAAGACACATTTATATATTAGTATAGATATGAGATTTTGCAAGTGGTGAATTCTAAACGTTCGTGCAACTTTCTTGATCCTTATTCACTTTGTCAATTTCTAGTAGAAGGCATTGGGATTTAATTTGAATTGATTTCTGTCATCAACAAAGATTAAAGTTGCCTATAAATGTTCTATCTAATATTTTGTCCTTCAAATATTGAATGCTTGTTGCTTGGTTTTGTGCCTCTCATGTTAACTCTGTATTAGAATATGTAGACCTTAGGCCGTTCTCTATAATCAGTCTTTTAACCTGTGGTCGTTCTATTTTATGCTGCTACATGTATATTTATTTCATTCAACAATGACATTCCACAGGGTGTAAAAAAGGTATATATATATATATATTCCCAAGAATATGCTGTTTGGTCATGCTAATTATTAACATCAAACAATATGAAATGACTAAACATTACTATGTATATAGAAAACAAATGTCGGCCAGCCTTGCACTTATTGCAAGATGCCACAGCGTTACACTATAAAACCTAATTTCATGATTTAGCTTTATTCTATACCAGGCCTTAATTTTTTTTCTCTGAGTTAATATTATGTTCAGGAATCTGTCAAGTTAGACATATTTCATGTCTACCAATTTCTTAACCTTAGTTGTTTTTACGGGATCCTTATTTATTTAGCATTTCCAGGCAAGAGAGTTCCTTCACTTCAAGGTTTTTGGCAAGCAGTGTATAACTCCTGTTGCTATGATGACAAGTTCAGTAAAGAACAACCATGATCATATTTTGGCTCTTTGTAAGAAACATGGATGGTTTGGCAGGGGCCAGCAGAAATTTCGTCTTTTTGAACAGGTATTATGTATTTTAATATTTAAATTCTTAAGTGGAAATGTGCTGTTGTCACTTTTACTTTTTTCTGGATGAGTAGTCATGATATTGACTATTCTATTCTTTTCATTGGCGCTTGTAGCCGATGGTGCCAGTTGTTGCTACTGAAGATGGTCAATGGTTGATTAATGAACCACTCTCCCTAGTCTGCAAACCAGGTGGTCACGGTGCAATATGGAAACTTGCATATGATAAAGGCATATTTCAATGGTTTTACAGTCATGGAAGAAAAGGTGCAACTGTTCGACAAGTCAGGTTATCATTGTATATAGTGTTATTCTTAGTCATAGTGTGGTTGTGCCTTGTGAATATAGCTGTGGTCAGATTATTTTAATTACAAGATATTCCTTTGTTTTTTGCAGTAATGTTGTTGCTGCAACTGATGTGACACTTTTGGCGCTGGCAGGAGTAGGTTTGAGGCATGAGAAGGTATGTAGAGCTCATATGTTTGTAAATACATTTGCTGTTCACTAGCAAACCGCTAGTGGCACTTACGAAACCTATTTGCCTACACACTGTGGCTCCATTCCATACCTGGCCCCATACAGCCAAAATACCATGGCGGGTTACACTTGAGTAGATGGTCCTAGAATTTGGACCGATAAGATTGACTCCTTATGATAAGTATAGCCAAATGAGCCCGTGCGTACCCATTGGGCACCATTATCTTGTCCCTCCTTCCAGCCAAAAAAGTTTAAGTTGGCCTAATTCTCCAATAAAATATTTTAGTGTTTATCTGTATCTTTTTTTAAATATCCAAGATTGTTTGTGATATTGCTGGGTTAATAACATGGAAATTTACAAATACTATTTTTTGCTTAATCATTTTATGCTTCTTATGTTGGCAACTTGTTAAATTCCTACTATTTGCTATAACTATATGCTCAATGAAATATCTATCATTGATTTCTCTACAGAACCGCATTGAACTTTGATGTCATCGTATCAAGTTCCAATTAAAGTAGATCCTACAGTTGGCCTAATATCTCCCATTATTGTAGCTTCGAAATTCACTATTTGCTCTTCTGAGACGGTTCATATTCTGGGTTAGATTTTTAGAAGATGGATGAAAATGCAGTTTAGACATTACCTAGAGATTCATCTTCCTTCCAATGGACGCATGCTCTTATGTTAATTACCTCTCTTGATGATGAGAGAGAATTCTGTTATGGTTAATTGATAAGTGCTAAATGCTTAGGATATAGTAGTAACAATTTAGTTTTAGGTTAAGAAAAATGTACTGTCTTTAGCTTAAAGTGGCTTGTGCGAGAATGATGATGAACCTAATCAGGATCTCATAGTTCTGTCATCTCAGATTGTCAGGGATTTTGTATTCTTAGTTAATAGTGATAGTCTACCCATGCCGATGACGACGACAACAACAACAACAACAACAACAACAACAACAACAACAACAACAACAATATGGATAACAACAAGCCTTTATCCCACTACGTTGGACTACATGAATCCTTTGTCTTTGTTGTGACTAGTTAGGAAAGTAGATGTAAGTTAAGTGTGGCAGAGATGAGGATGCTCAGGTGGATGAGTGGCTTTACCCTTAGAGATAGGATACGAAATGAGCATATACATGAAAGGTTGGAGTAGCTCCAGTAGAAGATAAGATTAGAGAGAGTCGCCTTAGATGGTTTGATCACATAAAACGGCGGCCTTCCAATGACCCGGTTAGGAGATTAGAGGTATTAGATTTGACTTATGTTAAGAAAGGTAGAGGCAGGCCTAAAAAGACTTGGTTAGAAAATATTAGGAATGACCTTTCTTTATTAAATTTAAACGAGAGTTTGACCTTTAATAGGACACAATGGAGAAAAATGATTCATGTAGCCGACCCCACGTAGTGGGATAAATGCTTGATGTTGTTGTTGGTGGAGCTAGACCTAAAAAGACGTGGTTAGAAAATATTAGAGATGAACTTTCTTTATTAGATTTAAATGAGGATTTGACGTTTAACAGGGCACGATGGAAAAAAAAGGATTCATTTAGCTGACCGTACATAGTGGGATAAAAACTTGATGTTGTTGTTGTTGACAAGTATAGTAGTTCATTAATTTAGTTAAGGTGTAATATCAAACTCATTCCCTTATTTTAATTTTGTTTGTAACATTTTGTATGATTATTTGTGACCCAGTATGATCTAGTAACTTGTTCCACGACAGAAGTCCAATTTTTCCACTATTCATCTTGAATTACTTTAACATTATTTGGTATGATCTCTAATATGATATGGCTTTCTGCTCATTGTTTACCGTTTCTATCGAAGGAATTGATTTAATGCTCTCCATGTTGTTAGCCTTCTGTTGCTACTTTATTGTTTCAGAAATTAGGATTTGCTTCGTGTCAAAGGAACTTTGGAGCTACGGAAGGTATTAATGTGCTTGTTGAGAAGCAGAGTGAAGATGGACAGTGGACATATGGCCTGACATGTATTGAATATACCGAGTTTGAGAAGTATGACATTAAGGTTGTGCCAATTTCACTTAGCAGGTGTGCATGACGCATAAGTTTGTTCTGGTAATCTTAGTCTGCCGGAATTAATTTTGTTAAAATATGGAAAATTATTGTTGATGATCATTCTTAAACTAAATTCAGGAGCTTTTGTACATCTTGAATTTCTGGCAGTTCTACTCTTCTTCATCCTGTAGTTAAGCACTAAATTTTTTGTTTTCTTCAAGCATGTACCGTTTGCCAATGTCCTGCCTGCTTTGATGGATTGAATTGCTTTAGAGGGGGCATTATGTATTGAGATCAAGGAAAAAAGTATAAAGTCATAATAATTGTAGTATGATTAGAAATTAGCTTAGCTTTTGATTATTTCATTAAACTAACATCAAGTGTTCCATCTTGTTAATTTTGTTTGCTCTGTTTGTTTCGGAGCAAGAGTGCATTCAACATGCATTTTAGCTATTACTCATATTGTTGAATCCATAATTACCTATTAATCATACCTAGCTATACTTAGGATACCAAGTGAAAATAGCACATAGATAGAGAGAAGAATTCATGGGTGATAAGCTTTGATATTACCTTAAAATAAGCTTGATTATTGAAAATTGCTTAAACTGAGCTTATTCCTTGGCCTCTTTTTATAGATTTGAGTTGGAGCTTAAACGTTATAGAATTGACTATTTATATGGCTATATAGAAAATAAAGGAAAAATATAATCATTGCATAACATGATTAGAATGTACTACTTGATGAAGTCATTTGCCAAACTCCTAAAAAGTTACTAGCTTGTCGTGTATTGATTATCAAATAGCTGACGAGCCTCTCAATAGTTTTACTCGAGAAATCATCATTTCTTGTGTAGTCACTAGGGTTGATTTTAGAAATTGTGCTTGATATGTACAATGATAGGCTACATTCATTGCTTGGATGAGTTCGTACACTTGAGGCGGTTCTCTTGTAGACTAGTGAGCATCTTTTGAGCTGTGATCGAGTAGACCAAATTAGATTGGCTTGAATCGTGTTAACATAGCTTGAATCGGGCTGACATAACTTGAATCCGATTTTCTGGATATTTAAATATAAGTTCTTTGATTCTCTTAGATCTTTGAAAATTTATTGGGAAATGAATAAAGGAATATAAAAAATATTCTTCCTTAATTATTCATAAATTTTTAATAGTTATTTATTTTAATGTTAGATATTATTTGATTAATTTAATGTTGCTTTTAACATTGTCCTTTTGTCCACGTATTCTAATACTTAGCCTAGAAATATGGGATTATTGTCTCTAATTTAAATGGTTCTTTTGCACCCCCCTTTGCCTTTGAGTTCTGCAATCATTTATTCCTATAAAAGAGGTAAGACCAATATTCCAAAGGATAATATAATTGCAAGCCTTCTTTGACATAAGAAAGATGAAAACTTCTTGTCACTTCTGACAAGAAGAAGAAGAAAGTGAAAATATTGTAGACAAAGTTGAAGGACGAGATTTGAGAGCTCATTGCCTCATCAAAGCCTTTATTGGATCATCATTCTTTCTTTTATTGATGTTGAAAAAAATGATGCTCTGCCAATGACAACTCCTCTGCCAATTGAATAGAAACTTTGATAAATGGTAAAATCTTTTTTTTTTTTTTGAAAAAATAATTTAATAGGATATATATCATGATTATTCGACAAATTTTAAGCTGACTATCGACTACCTTACATAACCTTTCACTTTTCTCATCCAGGACTTGAGACCTGGCAACATCCTTGTTAAATTAATGGAATTAATAGATTTTATGATTCATGAGAAAATATATATTTTATGCATTTTGGAAATTAAATGGGTTGGAAAGAAAGCTAAGGAGATTAATAGTTTTGAATTTAAATTTTTGTATTCTGATAAGAATCGTGATAGAATTGGTGGCATATTGTCTCTCACATTTACTTAAGCCAAATTAGATAGATGTTCATGCATCATTGAATACAAAATTCAATGAATGCTTCTTGACTTGTAGTCTCAAAACTATAAGTCACCTTTTGTTTCAATGGACTCCAAAAATCCTAGAAAATTCTCTCACCTTTGCCCAAAAGTTATAAATCCTCTCTAGGAGATTCATATCTAACCAATTCATTTGTTGAGTTAAAATCAACAAATAATTTCACATAAGACAATATAAATCCGATCTCTCCTTCATTCTCCTAACCCAAGTTAGGTGTATGAGTTCATTTCTTTGGAAAAACATCTAAAGGTCAAGAGAACTCTTTATTTGCAGCCTGAAATCTACAAGTTTTCCCTCACTTCATGGGCTCCAAAAGCCTCAGATTTACAACCTTAAACCCAAAACTCTGAGTAGCCCTTCACTTAACCAAACAAGTGATGGGGGCATCGACAAGAGATTCCAGCGCGTTTATCAGAGACGACACCGGAGATCGATGGCCATGATGGAGAGCCTTTATTACTGATGACTATTTGTATCTGCATTTTATATATTACTTATTTATTTTTAGTTTTTCCCATTTTACCCTTGTGGGTATTTGTTTTCTCTTGTAGCCCAAGGGGCATATTAGACTTTTGTAGTTGTTGTCATTTGGAGCCTATTTATATGGCTCTTGTATCTTGTATGAGGTTAATGAATTATTGAATGAAAAATTTGTTTTTGAGTTCTCTTTGTGAGTTCCATCTTGTAGATCTCCTAGTGAGTTCTTTTGTTTTTCTTAGAGATCTCTTAGTGAGTTCTCTAGGTAGTTACATGCAATATTCTTCTTCTCCTCCTCCATAATCTCCGGCGGGTAGGGCTCCAATGGTGACAATGCTCGTGAGAGATTTGTCTTCTTCCAACCCTAGCCCCGTCGGCCGGTCACCTTGCCGCTGGCCTTTTCCCTCTCCACCACCTCCCCACATCTCCCTTCCCTACTTCTCATTGGAATTTGAATTTCAAAATTCAAATTCTTTCTAAATTTGGAAATTTTATATATGGAAAGTTTTGAATGAATCCAAATTTAAAATTAAAATTGATTTGGATTTAATTTTAAAATTTTCCTAGTCATCATTTCAATTTTGGAAACCCCCCTCTCTCTCTCTCTCTCTCCATAACTCCCTCTCTCTCTAGCCATGCCGTCGGCCCCCCCCCCTCTTTGGGCTGCCCATTAATTACGCAATTAATTCTTCATCTTATTTGAAATCCTAATTAAGTTCAAATATTTTTTTCCCTCCAATTGCGCTAAAACTAAAACTAATTTCAGTTTTAAACTCCCTCTCCCCCCTCTCTCTACCGCCGGCTCCCCCTTTGGCTCCATCCAATTAAAATTCCATTAATGCTTTAATTGCCTCTTAATTGGGAAATCAAATTTTAAACAACTTCCCTCCCAAATCCCTAAAACTGAAATCAATTTCAGTTTTCTAAAGCAAATCCCATCCCTCTCCTCCTCTCTACCGCCGGCCTCCCTTTCTCCTCTCCAAGTCGCCTCTTCCCCCCCTTGGGTTGCTTGTGGTGATTGCTCGTCTTCAAATCCATGGTGTATGGCGGACCCCGCTGTTGATCACGGACTCTTCTACGACATCTACGGAGATATCCACGTCTTAAGATCTCCTTTCTTCGACGTAGGATTTGGCTTCGACAATACCATCGAAGAGTACTTGGATTGAATTTTACCAACACTAGTGGACGCTATCGACGACCAATTCTTCGACTACACGTGGATCATTAAAGGTCATCCTCCCGTGCCACCTCCACCTCCGAGTTCCTTCTCCGAGTTCCTTCTCCACGGCGACGTTTCTCGGCTCCTCCCTCGTGGCAACCTCATTCCTAGCGTGGACGATCTTCCGCCGCTCAACCTAGTTCCGTAGAAAAGAGAGAAGAGGCCTCAAGGTGAACAACTCCTTATTAATCATTGGATTCAAATCACTACCTTTTAACTTTACGTTCTCCTTTGTATTTGCTTAAATTGTTTGGTTAATTTTCTTGTAATTTCTTTGCCTAAGCAAGCGGAATACTACGAATTCTTGTAACCGACTTTGACTTGATGTGTGATTCTATAATTGTTTAAGCTATTGTTAAATCTTCTTTATTAATCTTGTGTAACTCAACTCATGCATCACATCAACAAGTTATCTTTTTCTTCTCTCATGATAACTACAATGTAACTTTTAGATGTCTAAGTATGTCTACTTTACTCTATTAGGTAGACACTTCTCTTTTATCCAAACATTAAGATAAATCTAAAATTCTTTAAAAATCACTTAGGTTTCTAAGGTACAATGATTAATCATTCCACCCGAAAAGTAGAATGCCCATGTCATTGGATCTTAGGATTCCATAGGTAGCAGATTTGCCTCGAAGCAAGTAGTGGCTGCTTTATGGGTTTTTCATAACCTTTCTAAATATGAAATAATTAAAAGTCAAATAAAATCTTCATGTCATAAAAAAAATTAAAGGAACCACCTGTGGATATTGAGATTAAACATCTTTTATTTCTCAACAAAACAAAATACCTCTTGTAGTAACATGCCACACAGTCGACATACAATTAGGTGCACAACTCCTAGGCATATTAGAATTAAGATTTTTCTTTTTCTGTACATGTGATTGATGTTGCGTTGTGATGACTATTGAATTATCGTTATTGTGGGCAGTTGCTCTTAAGTGGATAGGATAGAGATGTACTTATTTTTTCTATAGGTGTTCATGTTCAAGAGGGGGGTAAAAATAAATCATGATTATCTAACACTGTTTGCTTGCAGGCGCTTGTTAAACCCTTTCTTGGCTGCCCTTTTTACCCCCCCCCCCCCCCCAAGGAGACACGATCAATTGGGTAGAAATAGGGCTTGATTCTTTTAAGTGCCAGACAATTCTGTGATGTTTATTGCTATTGCTGTCATATAAACAGTTTCTAGTTCTGTTTTTTATTTTACAAACTTAAATCTTTTACCGTGTAGGACCCCAGAAGCTAAGTCTGTAAAAAAATAATTTGATTGTGTTGTATAATGATTGTCAACTCAGCTGTCAAATATGATTGTAATAATTTGGACATTATTTACTTTCATGTTTTGGTTGATTTTATATATAAATGCATGTTTGATTGTTTTCTGAGTGTACATTAGAAATGCTTGTTTTTCTTAGGTTTGGTCATTTGCTTTTGCTTGGCGGTGGCATGGACATGTGTTGTACTGTAAGCTCTACAAATTAAAAGATTTAAATAAAAAAAATCAATTATAGTACAATATGTATTTATCTATTAAAATTTGCATGGCTTACTCAAATAAGCCAACTTTCAAATACAAAATATTAAAATGATCATGTATGGCCAGTGTGTCACATTTAAAAGGCCTTCACTTAAAGATCATATAACAAAAATTTTTATTTCAGTGAGTCAGCATTTGCATACCCACATTGTCGTACATTTTGGTCTAAAAGTCAAATTGTAAGTCATATTTTTTAAAATTAAAACAACCTTCCTTACTCGTGATATGCATTGAGATCGGACTATAAATTTTAAAAGCGGTTAGGTGGGTTTGGCTGATAGCCCTTTCTAGGTAGGATTGTAAATTCAGAGGTCAGGCTGGCTTATGCCTCATGTGAGGCATAGATTTATAAGTCCCTTACACTTAGTTAGACGTAGGTTCGAGGCACTACCCCTTACCTTAGCTTTAGAATCCAAGGCTATTGTTGACTTTTAGTCACTTAATAAGCCCTCATATTCCAGTCTTTTTTTTCAACATGAATTGTTGAAATATAAACCACAACAATTTAAATCAAATTTGTCAACTTGAACCAAAATTTAATTTTAAAATATAAAGCCCAACATATGATAGTTTGTGTAACTCTGAGCTTTCTCATAATCAAGTGCTCTTGCATTTCATTCTTTTGGCTTTCTTTCCTAAAATCTGAGTTAAAATTGATCTTATCATCCTTGAAATTCCCAAAGACTAAATATTTGAATAAGAATTTCACAAATTTCAAAATGAAAATAATAGCCATTTGTTTTGATGACTCTAAAAAAAGAAAGAAACTACTAGTTTATTCAAAAGTGTTCTCAAGTGACAAATGCTTGAGATGTAATTAACCATAGGGAAATATTTATACCCCAAAATAAAATAAACCCTATTCAACCAAATATTGAATAGGAGAATATCACTGTTAAAATTAAAATTGTGAGTTTTGTTATTGAGTTCATGGAGAAATAATATTTTTGTACTTCAAAATAATATATTATTTTTTATGCAGTACTCGGTCACAAAATATCCTAATCCGTTGAAGATGACAAAATTCTCCAATAGTACCCCTCTTCTTTGCTAACCTCAAGCGCAAGGTGGCATTTGAATAAGCAGGGTGGTGAATGTGAGGGTCATGGTATGACTTTTATAGGTCCCTGGAGAAGTTCAAGGTAAATACATAGGAATTATCAAGCCCCCTTTTTTGAAAAGCAACAATTCTCTACAAATATAAGTGGTTAGATGCCTACTTTCTCCACAAGCGGCGAAGAAAAATTTGATGCTGAATAAAGATCCTTTATCGGGGTTGATAGATTTTTCTTTTGAGCCGGCGTTGCCAGAGAATGTGTACTCAACAACTTATGCTGTCGGCCCTATTATTTTCTTGAAGTTGCTGGAAACAAATATGGTTGTATTCTAGCAAGAGTATTCCACCACATAGTTAGTAAGGTGAATGCGATCAATTGGTAATACAACTGTATTAGAACAACTAACTAAAGAAGATGCTTCCCCAGATGATGAGGCAAAATGCGACAATAGCTATATTTGAGGGGAAAATTGCTGAATTGAATGAGTCATTGGGAAAAGGAAGGCCAAAAGTGAAGGGTTGAGTTAGCGGCCGAGAAACTGAAGGTGAAAATATTTGAAAAGGTGAGCATCCTGACAATGTTGACTTCCATGATTGAAAAGAGCAAATTAGATTTGAAAGTTGTCCATATGTGTAATATCGTGCTTGAAGAACATGTTAGATTGATGCAAGAAAACGAAAAGAATTTGAAGACAACCAATGAGTTATTCGGGACATTAACCCAAACTGCCAATTACAAAGAAATCTTGTCTGCCAGTTTTATGAAGGGATTCAACTTTTGTGATGAAAGTTAGTAGAAAGAAAGTCTTTACTATAATCAGAATAAGGAGATTTTTAAAGGTTTGATAAAAGATGCAAGCTCTAGTAAAGACAGTGATGAAGAAAGCCCCAGTAGTATTTGATTTGTACCAAATATGAAGTAATGATAAACTTTTTGCTTGCCTGGATTCTTGTTTTTATTTGAGTTGAATTCTTCTGAATTCAAAATATAAATTTCTTTCATTAGAAAGAACAAATACCAAGTTTATTTTAAAAAAGAATTCAAAGTACCAAACACCAAATAGAATAAATGGGCAAATGGTGTATACAAATTCGTCTTGATGTTGATGACATGATTTCATGTAACTACAAAATCCTCGTTTTTTTCTAATTAATTAAGTTTGCGTCACCTTTATTTTATTTGATTATATCGGCCATTTAGTTTGATTATTTCGGCTATTTTGGAACATTGACATTGTAAACTTGGGCATTGCTATGTTAGTCCCTTTTTTTTCCCTTTATCTTTGTTTTCGTTAATTCATCACGGTTTCTTGAAAGGCTTGAGATTATGTTTAGTTATTTAGTATTTTGTCATTGATTATGGTTCCAGTTTGGTTCCTTTGGATTATTTATAATAAAAATTCTTTTTGTGTTTTGGTATAAGTTTGCAGGCAGAATTTCCAGCCAATACAAACGTTCTCTATGTTGATTTAAGGGCTGCAGAGAGCATTGGAGCTAGCAAAAGCAGGAGCTCCTTACCAGGATTGGTACTGAACATGAAAAAGCCGGTTACATATGTGGACCATCTTGGGATTCAGCACAGGTACATATCCTACATTTTAATATTTTATGTCATCCATTTTATTGTTCCTAGGTTGCATGTTGGTCTTCTTTCTTTTATAAACTAGTTCTTGTTCTCTTGCAATTATCATTTAAAATCAAAGTGCCTTTTTTTTTTTTCTGAATGGAAATATTCTCATAGTTTTGCAAAGTAGCAGCATTCTCTTTGCCGGATTCCAAGCCCTTGTTGAGAAAAGTGGTGGGTTACGTTAGATTGTCAACAACAAACATAAAACTTAGCGTACACTTATGACATGAAATGATTCCTTTAATACATTGTGTTAATGCTAGTGCATTCGCCGGAAGCGACATGCTTTATGACTTGTATACAACAAAAATGTGTAAGGGCTGCTGCACCAGTGCTCGCACAAGCTATCATAATAATAAAAGACAACCATAATATATATAAATTCGACTAAGTAACATTCAAATATCTCATAATTCAAATACTACAATCTTTTTTTTTAAAGATCAAATAAGAATTTAATCTACTCTTCTTGGGAATCATCATCATCAGCAAATGTTTAAAAAGCTTCATTATCTTCTTCAACATTGTCTCCCACTTCATAATCCTCTTTATCACCCTCGGTACCGCTACTTCATAATCCTATAAGAACTGAATATGACATTTTATGATCACCTAAAAGCAAACAAATTTAGATAAAAGAAACATAATATTGTCCAAGAAACATAATATGGGGGCTGCCGGGTTCCAAGGGAGCGGTACCGAGCGTGTACCTAGTTGTACCGAGTGGTACAAAGCTTGTAACTAGCGGTACCGAGCATGTACCGAGCGGTATCGAGCATGTACCGAGCGGTACCGAGCATGTACCGAGCAGTACCGAGCATGTACCGAGTGGTACCGAGCATTTACATAGCGGTACCCAACGGTATCATGCATGTACTTGGCAATACCGAGCGTGTACCTAGTTGTATCGAGCTGTACCGAGCGGTACAAAGCATGTACCGAGCGGTACCGAGCATGTACCGAGCGGTACCGAGCGGTACCGAGCGGTATCATGCATGTACTTAGCGATACCGAGCGTGTACCTAGCGGTACTGAGCTTGTACCTGGTTGTACCGAGCTGTACCTAGCGGTACAGAGCATGTAACTAGCGGTACTAAGCGGTATAAAAAATATTCATAAGTATACCAAAAGTTAAAAATAATTTGGCGCGCTATTTTGCGTCGTGCGCAATGCGCCATGGCTCACATGTGGCGCAAATAGCGCACGCTATTTTAAACACATGCTCCTCGCCATGAACATGACGCTGTAGGTGCGCCGCGCCCATTGACAGCTATGATATGTACTCTTACACACAAATTTATAAAATTAATATATATTATAATTCATAGGTAGATAAATATTTACGTATTCAGAGAACTAAATGGGTTGAAAAAAAGCTAAGGAGATTAATAGTTTGTGAATTATACTTTGGTATTTAGGTCGGAGTCGTATTAGAAATGATGTATGTTATTATACATAAGTCTTTGAATGATAATGTTATAAAAATTAATAAAATTAGAGATATAATTATAGTTTTAAAGATTGTTATTGATGCTAAGATTATTAATGTTATAAGCGCTTATACTTCTTAAGTAGGCTTGGATTTGTATTCAAAAATAAAATTTTGGAATGATTTAGAATAATTGATATGAAGGATAGCTCTTGAAGAAATAATTTTTATTGGAGGAGATTTAAATGAATATGTTGGTATAGTGGTAGAAAATTTAAAAATCATTTGTGGCGGTTATCAAGTTAAAGCAACTAATAAAAATGGTAGAATTATATTATATTTTGCACTAGCTTATAATTTATAATTATTGATATCTTATTTAAGAAAAGAGTGGAGCATCTCATCACTTATAAGAATGAATATTTTACAAATTAGATTGCTTATTTACTTATGTGAAAAATAAATTGTATATATTGCAAATATTGTAAAGTCATTCTAAACAAAAGTTTATGTACCAGCATTGTTTATTAATTTTGGACTTAAAGGTAAGGGGGTGAAAAATGAAAGATAAAGTAAATCGCTTAGGATTATATAAGGGTATTTAAAATTCTAAGAAAATATTTTTGAGAGTACGATTCAAAATATTAAAATTTGGGTTATGCTACGACGTGATACTAATATTTCTCAAAACGAGTTTGGATTTATGCTCGATATGCCTTCTATGAAAGTTATATATTTATTGAGAGTTTTGATGGAGATGTTTAGAGAGGGTAAGGATGATTTATATATGATATTTATTGATTTATGGACTATTTGGTTGGCTAAAAGAGGAATACAATAAAAAAGGAATGCAGTGTAAAAAAATGCGATATAAAATGAATACTTTTGGAGTTGTTTGGATTAATATAAAGTAAATGTAAGTGAATGATTTTCTTTTTGTTTGGTTTGAAGTATTAAAATGTAGTGTAAAGTTCAAAAATGGTGGTGGCCGGCAGGGGAGGTGACGGTGATGGTGGTGGTTGGCGGAGGCGGTTAGCGTCGGCAGACGGTGGTGGTGGTTGGTGGAGGCTGGTGATGACGGTTGCTGGCGGTGGGTGGCCGGTGGCGACGGCGGTTTGTGGTGGCTGGCAGGTGACGGCGATGGCGGGCGACGGTTAAGGTAGCTTGTTTGTGGTGTAAACGTTTCTCGCTCAAATCTGGGCGAGTTTGGTTTACTTGAAAAATGAACAGCCAAACACAAAAATTTTCAAAACCCTTGCATTTGAAATACTTTGCACCACTTTGTATTCCAACCCAACAACCTTTTAGAGAAAGCAAGTGATAAAATTCTAAGAAAAGTGCTATGAAAAATTCTAGAAAAGAAAAGAGTTAATAATGCTTATATTCGAGTCACTAAGGATATGTATATAGGAGTTATTACTTAGGTTCAAACTCAAGGTGGTTTGACCAAATATTTTTCTATTTTAGTTAGATTACACCAAGGATCAGCTTTAGGCCCATATCTCTTTGCATTAGTCATGGATGTTCTTACTAGACATTTGCAAGAGGATTTACTTTGGTGTATACTTTTTATTGATGATATTCTTCTTGTTGATAAGACTAGAGAGAGTTGATAAAAAGTTTGAATTATAGAGGTTAACCTTAGATTTTAAAGAATTTCATTTTAGTAGATTTAAAACCAAATACTTAAAATGTTATTTTAGTACAAATAGATCTAGTGGTGGGATTGTGACATTGGGTGATCAAGTAATTAAAAAGAGTACACTTTTTATATACCTCGAGTATATTATTCAAAATGATGGTGAAATAAATGAAGATATTATGGAACTCAAGTTGGATGGTTCAAGTGGTGGAATGCATTAGGCCTGTTGTGTGATCAAAAGTACCCCTCAAACTTAAGAAAAAATTTTATAAGATGGTGGTGAGCCATGCTAGTCCATGAAATTATAATTAGGATAATAACTTGGAATCTGTCTTCTTAGAGATAAATTAATGAAATTAATAAATATTATGATTCATTGAAAGATAAATATTCTATGCATTCAAAAAATTAAATGGGTTGGAGAAAAGACTAAGGGGATTGATAGTTTATGATTTAAACTATGGTATTCAGGTAAAAGCTGTATTAGGAATGATGTGACTGTGATTATAGATAAGAGTTTGAAAGTTTATATTGTATAAATTTATAGAATTGAAGATAGAATTATAACGTTAAAAATTGTTATTGATACAACAATTAGGGGTGTCAATATTTGACACGACCCAAAAATCCGACTCGAACCCAACCCAAAAATTTCAGGTTAGGGTCAACCTGGACTCGAAATGGGTTGGGTTCGGGTTCAATAAATCGACCCGTTTCAAAAATTGGGTTGGGTTGGGGTTGACCCAGTAACCTGAAATTGACCCGTTTTCTATCTGAAATTCCATTTTTTACCTGGATACCTGAAATTGACACGTTTTTTACCCGAAAATAGGAGATTAGCCCTTTTTTTAACACGAAAATATGTATTTTTTTGTCGGTCCCAGGTCATTCGGGTTATGTCGGGTTGACCCGAACCCTAAGCGAGTCGGGTTCGGGTTCGAAAAACTGACCTGTTTGCAAAAACAGGAGGGTTCATGTGACCCAAATAGTGCCGGGTCAGTTTCGGGTTCGACTCGAACCCGACTCGTGACCCGAAATTGATATCCCTCACAAAAACAAGCCTTTATCCGAATATGTGAGGTCGGATACATGAATCCTTTTTTATCTATTGTATTTTATTAAGAGTCAAATTTTCATCTAAATATAAAAAAAAGTAATTTCTAATATTTTCTAACCAAGTCTTTTTAGGTCTATCTCTACCTTTGTTAACATAAGTCAAATCTAATACATCTACTTTCCTAATCGGGTTATCGGAAGACTGTCATTTTATGTGACCAAACCATCTAAGACGATTCTCTCTAATCTTATCTTCTATTGGAGCTACTCCAACCTTTCACATATATACTAATTTCATATCCTCATCCACCTAAGCATCCTCATCTCTATCACACTTAATTTAATATTATGCTTCTCTTTTAATGGCCAACATTCTACACCATAAAGCATTGCATGTCTCACTATCATCTTATAGAATTTTTCCTTAAGTTTTATAGGGACTTTTCTATCCCATAACAAGCCCAATGCATTCCTCCACTTTAACCATCCAACTTGAATTCTACTAATATTATCCTCATCTATATCAACATCACTCTGAACAATAAACTCAAGATATCTAAAATGAGTGTTCTTATTAATGACTTGATCGCCCAAAGCGCAATCCCCTAGTAGATCTATTATTACTAAAATTACACTCCATATATTCATTTTTAGATCTACTCAAACGAAAGTCTTTAGACTCTAATGTTAACCTTCACAATTCAAGTTTACCTTCAACCCCATCTATAGTCTTATCAACAAGAAGAATATCATCAACGAAAACCATACAACAGGGTACAACCTCTTGCAATGTCTAGTCAGAACATCTATGACTAATGAAAAAAGATATGAGCTTAAGGCTGACCCTTGATGTATTCCAACTGAAATAGGAAAACACTTGGTCAAACCACCTTGTGTCTGAGCTCAACAGCTCCTTCATACATATCCTTAATGACTTGAATATAAACATTATTAACCCCTTTCTTATGTAGAACTCTTTCCCATAGTTTTAAAGCATGAATATCATAGAATTCTCTCCCATTATGCACCATAGCACTTCTCATGAAACTTTATCATATGCTTTCTTTAAATCAATAAATATCATATGTAGATCCTCATTCTCTCTATACGTCTCCATCAAACCTTTTAATAAATGTATATCTTCCATAGTAGACCTACCTGACATGAGTCCAAATTGATTTTGAGAAACTTTAGTATCATGCCGTAACCTATGCTCCATAACTCTCTCCCATAGTTTTAAAGTATGACACATTAACTTAATTCCTCTATAATTCGCACAATCTTGTGCATCACCTTTATTCTTAAAAATAGAAATCAACATACTCATTCTCTTCTCATTTGACATCTTTTTAGTCTTCAAAATAATATTAAAAAGTTTAGTAAGCTAAGAAATTTGTTCATCTCCTAAGCATTTCCACACTTTTATTGTAATATCATCAGGTCCAATAGTTTTTCAACATTTTATTTTCTTTAAAAATTCTTTAATTTCAATTTTACTAATATGCTCATAAAAAATTTTTATTTTCATTTAGGGTGCTAAGGTCACTAATGTCAATCACATTCTCATAATCTTCATTGAAAAGTTGAGCAATGTATCTCATCCATCTTTGTTGAATATCCTCTTTTAATAAAAGCACTTTTTTATCTTCATTCCTTAATACACTTCACTTGAACTAAATCCTTACTACTCCTATCTCTTTATTTAGCTAACTTATATATATTTCTCCCTCCTTAGTTTCTAATATATTATATAAATCATTAAAATCTAAAATCGTTGCATTGCAAATTATTTTCTTAGACTCATTACATGCATTTTTATATCTTTCCCAATTAACAGAATTCTTGCAACTAAACTAATTTTTATAACAAATCTTTTTATTTTTTTATATTTTCCTACACATTTTGTTTCCACCACCAAATTGTTGTTGATGTTGAAAATATTAATATTGTAAGTGCTTATGCTTCGCAAGTAGGCTTGAATTTGTATTCAAAATTTAAATTTTGAAATAACTTAGAAGAATTAATACAAAAGATAATATCTCTTGAAGAAATTTTTTTTATTAGAGGAGATTAATTGAAGATATTAGTAGTGTTGTAGAAGATTTTAAAAATATTCATAATGACTATTGATTTGGAGCTCTACTAATGAAGGTGGTAGAATATTGTTAGATTTTACTTTAACTTATGATTTTATAATTTGTAATATTTTATTTAACAAAAGAGATGAGTATCTCATCACTTATAAAAATGGATATAATAAAATTCAGATTGATTCTTTTTTATAAAAAAATAAATCATTTTGATTGCAAAGATTGTAAAGTTATTTCAAGTGAAAGTTTATGTATCGAATATTGTTTACTAGTTTTGAACTTTAAAATGAAGGGGGTGAAATATGAAAAATAAAGTAAATTATTATTCTAGGATTAGATGGGGCAGGAGTGTCAAAATGAGTTTTCGGGTCTGGTTCAGATTCAATCTGAAACTGACCCATCTTCAATTGACCTGACTCGATTAGCTAAACGAGTCACAAATCCAGATCCTAACCTGACCCACCTCTAACCCGGTTTGACCCGACTAAATTAGCTAACAAGGGTGACTAAGCACGGGCGTTCAAGCGCGGCCAGCGAGCGAATTGATGAGCACAACGGAGGATGAGTGTAGGTGGCTTTTGAGTTTTCGGGTTGGCCCAACCTGAATCTACAATCTGGTCAGAAATTTAAACTCGAACTCAACCAGTTTTTTTAACATGTTGATCGAAACTGGAATTTTTGGGTTGTGTTAAATATTGACAGCCCTAAGATAGGCGCATTTAAAGAACACTAACGAAAGTATTATTAAGAGTAAGATTCAAGATCTTAAGATTTTGAATGTATACGAAAAAGATAATATAATATGAGGAAAGTAACTAGTGTTATTAAGAATATTGAAAAGTATGTACTGGAGTATCAAATGAAGAAGCACCTAATAGTAACAATAGTTGATGGTGAAATAAAATGTGCAAAAATAAAAAAAAAATAAAAAGTTTTGTTATAAAAATTGATTTAGATATAAAAGCTCAGAAAATTGGGAAATATGTAAAGGTCCTGTGAGGAGTCTAAGAAAGCAATGGTTAATGTACATAATTTAGTTTTTGGTTATTTATTTAATAGATTATATATTAAGAAGAGCGAAAGATGTATGCATAAGTTAACTAAATAAAGAGATAAGAGAAGTAAGGATTTAATTCATGTGAAGTGAATTAAGTATGGAGATAAAAAAAGAATTTATTAGAAGAGGATATTCAATGTAGCTGGATATGATATTTTAATAAGTTTTTCAATAAAGATTATGAGAATACGATTGATTGTAGTGAGCTTAGCACCTTAAATGAAAATATACATTTTTTTTTATTGTCGTATTCATAAAACTAAAAGAGGCTTTAAAGGAAATGAAGAGTGAAAAAACTATTGAGCTTGATGATAATCCAATATAGGTATATAAATGTTTGGGAGATGAAGGAATTTCTTGGCTTACAAAATTTTTAAATATTATTTTGAAGTTAAGAAGATCTCAGATGAATTGAGAAGAAGTGTGTTGGTTCCTATTTTTAAGATTAAAGGTGATGCACAAGAGTGTGCGAATTATAGAGGAATTAAGTTAATGTGTTATACATTAAAATTATGGGAGAGAGTTACTGAATATAGGTTACGTCCCGACACTAATGTTTTTTAAAATCAATTTAGATTCATGCCTGGTAGGTCAAGTATGGAAGCTATACATTTATCAAAAAGTTTGATGGAGAAGTGTAGAGAGAATAAAGATGATCTTCATTTGCTATTTATTGATTTAAAAAAAGCATATGATAAAGTTTCAAGAGAAGTGCTTTGAGGTTCTAGAAAAGAAAGGAGATAATAATGCTTATATTCAAGTCATTACAGATATGCATGCAGGTGATCTTACTTGTGTTCAAACAACAAGGCTAGGGCGGTTGAGAATTTAATCCTCTATCTATAAATATGGCTTTGGGCAGTAGCACTAGTAGATTCTTGTGCTGTACATAGACCGTATTACTCCTCTAATTCCATTTTAGTCTGTTTCTTTCACTCTACTTGAATATGCAACCTTTTACAGCATTGTGATCACGTTTCATTAGTTCAATAAATATCGGTGGAACTCGTTTGCGATTCTTGTTTATTATATAATTTTTACGATACTATCACCATATCATCCATATGAAGAGGCTTTTAATTAGAACAAGCATTATCATGCATTTTCAATATTTTTGTGGCTCCACCACTGCAGCTGGTCTTTGTTGTCATCAAAAGCTATCATTCAGTTAACTTGGCTTGGGTCAATTTTTTCTCAAATAGAAATCATGTTTGAGTTAAAACAAATTTATATACTTGTAAAGTAACTTTAGCTCAAACATTATGTAGAAGTTTATAGGAACTATGATATGTCACCTTTGCACCCCTGATAAATGACTTAGGGCTCTTTTTACTACGTCATATATGCAAGGAAATGAAGTCAATGTTTGGCCTGTTTTGCCACAACAGATAGCTCCCTTCTTTTCAGCTGCTGCCTTGAGAAGGCCATGAAGGCCCAGTATTTTTTAGGGTTCCCGTTATAGGGAGGTCTATTCTTATGTGAATTTTTGATATTGGAATAAGTCTGCTGTTTTTCCATACAATTCAACATTTAAATATTTTGGAAGTATTTTATGCCGAGGCTTTCATTTTTGTGGGCGTCTAGGATTGCGCTCGCTTTCCCGTATGAGTTTGAGGCCTGAGTATGGATTGCAAGCTTTTTCCAGCTAATTCTTTATGATTTCTGGCATATCTGGAGCTGTAGAACTGGACTCATTCACTACCGCCTTTGCTCATTGGACTCCTTTAGGCTGGTGTGTGAAGTGATTGGTGTGCCAAAGCAATCCTAGCTTATAGTACGTTCACCTTTTTTAACAGATGGGAATCGCACAAAATTTTAGTATCATGGTTTAGTCATATTCTCTCGTTAAGCTGTGATTTGTCAAAATTTATGTTAAGCTATGTCTATTCTTATTATGTTGCTCCATTTATGGTGTATTTGAGGAATTGTTTTTTTTTCCCCAGTGTTTCTGGTGGTAGACTAGAGTGCACGATGCAAAATATTGCCGACAATTTTCTGAACACATATGCTTCTAGGTGCAACGAAGGCATTCAGAGTATGTAGCTTTTCCTTGTTTTTCTTTTTTGGTTTTTGTACCGTCTCTTATCATGTCTAACCTGCTACAGGTTTACTGGATACCTTTATTTTATATAATGAAAGGAGACGGGTTACTTCATCAGCTAAAAGGAAAAGGAAAATGGTAGACAAGTCATTACATCAGGCATGTGCTATTCTATTAGACATTCTAGGCTTGATAGAATTATAGAAGGCATTTCCAATAGACTATTCAGACAATTTTGAAAACATTTCTTTTCCTTGATGTCTTTATTTTTTTTTAACTTCTACGATGGTGTAGGTGTGATTTTAGATAAGAGTTTGAAGGATATTGTCATAAAAATTGATAGAATTGAAGATAGAATTATAGCTTTAAAGATTGTTGTTGAAACTAAGATTATTAATATTATGAGCACTTGTACTCCTCAAGTAGGTTTGAATATGTGTTCAAAATAAAAGTTTTGAAATGACTTAGAAGAATTAATACAAAAGATACATATTGAAAAAAGAGCTGAGGAGATTTAAACGGACATGTTGATAGAGATGTAGATGATTTTAAATCATTCACGTTGGCTAAGGCTTTGGAGCGACTAATGAAGGTGGTAAGACCGTATTAGATTTTTCCTAACTTATAATTTTGTAATTACTAATACCTTATTTAAGAAAAGAGATAAACATCTCATCACTTATAAGAATGGATATAGTAAAATTTAAATTGATTATTTTCTTATAAGAAAAATAGATATTTTAGATTGCAAATATTGTAAAGTTATTCCAAGTGAAAGTTTATGTACGCAACATTGTTTATTATTTTTGGATTTTAGATGAGTGGCAAGAGATAAAAAATAAAATAAATCATTATTCTAAGACTAGATGGGGGCATTTAAAAAATATTAACAAAAATATTTTTAAAAGTAAGACTCAAGATCTTAAGATTTTGTCTGTGTATGAGGAAGTTAATGTTATGTGAGAAATAAAATAGCTAGTGATATTAAGAATGTAAGATATGCTTGAGGTATCAAAGTAAAAAATTGCTAATAGTATAAATAGTTGGTGGTGGAATCAAAATGTGCAAGAAAAGATAAAAAATAAGAAGATTTGTTAGAAAAATTGGTTTAATTATAAAAATTATGATAATTAAGAAATATATAAAGATGTCCGCAAGGAGTCTATGAAAGCAATTTACAATGCAAAATTTTTTGCTTTTAATGATGCTAAGGTGGGCGAAAGATATATGCATATGTTAACTAAACAAAGAGATAGAATTAGTAAGGATTTAGTTCAAGAATGTATTAAGGACGAAGATCAAAAAGTGTTTTTATTAGAAGAGAATATTCAATAAAGGTGGATGAGATATTTTGTTAAACTTTTCAATGAAGATTATGAGAATGTGATTGAATTTAGTGACCTTAGCACTCTAAATAAAAATAAATATATTTGTTTTTATCAGCGTATTAGTAAAAGTGTAAAACTAAAGTTAAAGAGGCTTTAAAAAAATGGTGTGGAAAAACTGTTGGATCTGATGATATTCCATTAAAGGTGTGAAAATGCTTAGGAGATGAAGAAATTTCGTGCCTTACGAAACTTTTTAATATTATTTTGAAGACTATAAAGATGTCAGATGAGTGGAGAATAAGTGTGTTGATTCTTTTTTTTGATAATAAAGGTGATGCACAAGATTAAGCGAATTATAGAGGAATTAAGTTAATGTGTCATACTTTAAAACTATAGGAAAGAGTTATGAAGCATAGATTGCGGCGTGACAGTAATGTTTCTCAAAATCAATTTGAATTTATGCCCCATAGGTCTATACTATGGAAGCTTTACATTTATTGAGATATTTGATGAAGAAGTATAGAGAGAATAAGGAGGATCTATATATAATTTTTATTGATTTAGTGAAAGCATATGATAAACTTTAAAGAGAAGTGCTATGGAGAGTTCTGCATAAGAAAGGGCATTATATTTAAGTCATTAAGGCTATGTATGCAAGAGCTGTTACTTGTGTTCAAACAAAAGGTGGTTTGACCAAGTATTTCCTATTTCAGTTGGATTACATCAAGGATTAACCTTAAGCCTATATCTTTTTTCTTTAGTCATGAATGTTCTTACTAGACATTTGCAAGAGGTTGTATCCTAGTGTATGTTTTTTGCTGATAATATTCTTCTTGTTGATAAGACTAGAGAGGGAGTTAAGATAAACTTTATTATGGATGTCAACCGTAAAGTTTAAAGGCTTTCGTCTGAGTAGATATAAAATTGAATATATAAAGTGTAATTTTAGTATAATAGATCTAGTGGGGGATTATAACTTTCGACGATGAAGTTAAGAGTATAGGTTTGAGATATTTTGGGTCTATTGTTCAAACAACAACAACAACAACAACATCAAGCCTTTATCCCACTACGTGGGGTCGGCTACATGAATCCTTTTTCTCCATTGTGTTCTATTAAAAGTCTATTGTTCAAAGTGATGATAAAATAGATGTGGATATTATTAGTAGAATTCAAGTTGAATGGTTGAAGTGGAGGAATGCAGCGGGCTTGTTGTGTGATAGAAAAGTCCCTCTCAAACTTAAGGGAAAATTCTATAAGATGGTAGTAAGACCTGCAATGCTTTATGGTGCAAAGTTTTGGCCATTAAAAGAGAAGCATAATATTAAGTTAAGTGTTGCAGAGATGAGGATGCTCAGGTGGATCCAACCATTAAAAAAGCGGACGAGGCGTCTGCATTGAGTCGCGCCTCAAGCCGAGGTGGAAGTCATGCATATCGGGGCTTACACCTCAAACAATCTAGCTAAGCATACGATTTTTTTTGCACGAGGCGTACGCATTAGAGCGTAACGCCTCGAGGTAGTATGAGGCACCACCTCAAAATTTTTTCTTCGGTATATATGTAAATACGACGCAGTCGATTCATGTTCGTGTATTCGCATATAGGATTAGGGCTTCCTATAAGAATTGAAAGGCGAACTAAAGGCGTAGTCGTGAGGGAAAGAGACGAAGCTGTGAGGGAATGAGACGAAGCCGTGAGTGTAGGAGACGAAGTCGGAAGGAGACGACGCAGGGAAAGAAATGAAGCCGAAGTTGTGAGTGCAGGAAACATTCAGGCATCAGTTAGGTCGGAAGAGCAGGTACGCGGTGTTGTGGCCTTGACTTTGACGTGCAATAACGAAAGCTTGAATAACTAATGATTCGACTTTCTTTCATTCGTCCCTCAGTACATGCTCGGTACCGAGCATGTACCGGTCAGTACCGAGCATGTACCGCTCGGTACCGAGCCAATACCGCTCGGTACTTAGCGTGTACATGCTCGGTACCAAGCATGTACACGCTCGGTACCGAGCATGTACAAGCAAAATTTCAAAATACCCTGTCTGGTCGAACCCCGCCAGGGGGTAGCTCCCCCTTGGACCCCTGACAGACTGGTATATTTTTGTATTCATGTTGTTTTATTATTGGTAGTATAAATAATTGTTAAAATATGTCATATTGTTAGCATGACTAGTGGCACAAGAAGGAAAGATCCTGCATGGAAATATGGAACTCAAGTTGAAGTGTCAGGCGAGAAGGTGCAAAGAAGGGATATGTTTACATGAAATGTAATTTCTGTGAGAAATGCATAACTGGTGGTGTCAAGAGATTGAAGGATCATCTAGCCTGCACTCATGTCAATGTGGGACCATGTGCAAAAGTTTCTGATGAGGTGAAAAATAATGTACAAATTATTTAAAGAAGTTTGCCATCACAAAGGAGGTCACACAAAGAAATATGGAAGAGATGATAGGAAACTCTTCTTACTATGGATCACAGCATGATGGTTCCAATACTGGAAGCCATCTAGTTTCTTCTGACCGAGGCAGTGGGGGCCCATGGATAGATTTATGCTAAATATTGATAACAAGGAAAACATAAATACTCAGGATATTCAGCCTCCTACAACTACAAAAGAACTAAGGAACAGAGTTTGTTTGGATATCGCTATATTCATCTACAAAAATGGGATTCCATTTAATGTTGTTAGGAGTCCGTCGTGGATCAATATGTTACGATATGTTGGAAGCTATGGAAGAGGATTACAACTTCCAAGCATGTATGAGCTGAGGACATGGATGCTGAATGAGGAAGTTAAGACAACTTCAAAAATGGTGGATGATGTTAAGAAGACTTGGATTGAGACATGAGTGATAATAATGTTAGATGGTTGGTCAGATATTCGATATAAAAGTATTATTAATTTCTTGGTCAACAATCCATATGGAACAGTTTTTCTCAAATTAGTAGATGCTTCAAGCTTTGTAAAGGATGCACAATTATTGTTTGAAATGTTGGATGAAGTTGTGGAGGAAGTGGGAGATGCCTTAGTAGTACAAGTTGTTACCGATAATGCAAGTGCATACGAAGCTGCAGGAAGAATGTTAATGGAGAAGAGGCCTCACCTTTACTGGACTTCTTGTGCTGCACATTATATTGATTTGATGCTTGAGAGGTTGGGACAGTTGCCTCAACATAAATCGGCCATATTGAAGGCCAAATTTGTTAGTAAGTTTATATACAATCATTCTTGGGTATTCAGCTTGATGAGAAATTCACTGACAAGAAAATTATTAGACCTGCTGTTTCAAGATTTGCTACTGTATATTTAACATTGCAGATATTCAAGGAGTTAAGACAACCTTTGGAAGCAATGTTTGCTTCTGAAGAGTGGGATAAAAGTTCATGGGTCAAAAAACAAGGAGGAAAACAAGTTAAAAAGATTGTTATGAAAGACATTCATTTTAGTGCAGTACAAATCAATGTTTAAAATTGCGTATTCGGGTATTGAGGCGTAAGCCTCATAATCAAAAGATTGCATAAACACAAAATGATAAATTTTTTATATTCTAATGAGTGAATAATATAAAACATAAAAAAACATAAGATATGAAGTGAAATCAAAATATCCCAATAATAAGACACAATGAAATATAGTTCAACTCAAAATTTTATCTTTCCCAAATCCCAGTTTTTTTTCATTAACATATGATTCCAATTTCCAAAAATAAATAGCAATGACATATCACATAAGAACTCATAAGGCATCAGCACTGTCATCACTATGGGGTTATTCATTTGAATCATTATTATGATGAACTGCTCTCCCCCTTCCTCCTCTCCTATAGAGTC